GTCTTCTTGTATTGTGACTCTCCACACAGCTAAAGCGAAGCCTTTGCATGCAATGATGTCATGGGTGACACAATCAACGTTTTCTTTTTCCCACGTCCTAGTAGTTGCGATGAAACGTCGCCGTTTTTGCGTTTCCTCTATCCACAACCAACACTGTCTTCATAAGGTTCATTTCTTATTGGGCTTCGATCTTCTATATTTTTAATGGGCCGTCCAATAAAATTCTTACTTTATCTCATAGTATAATCTTTGTAGGTTACGCAGACCGAACCATTTTCAGTTACATGTTTTTAATTAACGATGTGGGACTCGAATTTGGTAACGAAGATCCGAATAAACTTATCATTTCTTTGCAAAAATGGGCTTAGTAAATACAGGATGGGCCGTGATTTTAGAACAACCCATTGATTTATCTTTTACTTGGTTAAATAAAATTATACAAGAGGGTGTATTGGGGTTTTATGCGGGCATGTATATACAAATTAAAAAAAACTAAAAACTACAGTATATTACGGTTATTTTATGTTCTAATCATATTTAGTTTTTTTTTACCAAACCGTTTTAACGGTATGAGCAATTTTTTTGTTCATAAAGTAGTTGGTGCTTATTTTGTTCAAAATGTGAAATTTGACTAATTTTTTTTTTGACAATTTTTTTTCTATTGTTAGATACTATTCGAGAAGAATCGTTGTATCGATGTTTGTTAACTGTTGCGATTATGTGAAAGTTGATTAATTGTTTTTTGACAAATTTTTTTCTAATTGTTAGTTACTGTTCAAGAAAGATCGTTGCATCGATGTTTGTTATCTGTTGCGATTCTTCTCTATAATTATATATTTCAAGAAAGAGTCTGACACGGTCAAGATCTACAGGAACCAATCCCCATCGACATCTCTCACCTTCAGTGACGAAGGTACAATTTCTCTCTAGTGAAACCGTCGGTTGGATCATCTCTTCTCCGACAGAGTTACCTCTGCGAAAACTCTGTTGGAGTCGTTGTCTACGGCGAACTCGAAGAAGAAGAAGGGCATGATTACTTGTTGGAAATCACATCTCTCGAGCCGCTCCAACTCAGGTCTCAATGCCGAATAATAGTTTACTTGGTTTATTGCTAAGACTTTTTTTTTTGCGGCTGTGAAAGCCTAGTTATGGCTTTTTATTAGTTAAGTAGGCATTTTGTTGCTAAGATTTTTTTATTATTATTGTTAAGACTCTTTCTTTTGTGGTTGTGAAAGTCCAATTATGTTATTGCTAAGAGCACCTCCAAAGGTTATAACCTTAGAGAATTTCTTATATATAATAAATACAAATATAGATAACGATGTGGGATTCGAATTTGGTAACGAAGATCCAAATAAATTTATCATTTCTTTGCATAACTCATTGTAATACAGGATGGGCCCTAATTTTAGGATAACTCATTGATCTATCTTTTACTTGGTTAAATAAAATTATACAAGAGGTATTGGGGTAATATGCGGGCACGTATATAAAATTTAAAAAACCACAATTGTATATACTTTTTTTGTTGCTAAAGAAACTACAATATATACTATACTGGAAGTTGTTTACAAGAAGATTACAAATACATGTAATAAATTTCATCCAGTCAAAAA